ACACCTCACTACTGTTGCATTCCCTTTACCTAGTATGATTTCTCCCACAGACTCCGAGCATAGCGTAAACGAATTACTCTATGGTAGTAACTCCTTGTATTCTGATCGCTGTCCGAAATAACCCATCTGGTATAGTGGAACTTGTGGTGTAGCTCATCGAGTCGTTGTTATATTCAAACCTGTCCAGCACGTCAAAGTAGCAGTTATTGGTCAGGCGAGGGTTGTAGAGAAGAGAAGGATGGCGAGACAGAGGAGGAACCAGTTTGGCGTGGAACAGTAGTACAAGTAGCTGACAATAATCAAAGCGTCATTGAAGATTATTATGGAAGACAAATGAAAATTTGACGACACGGCGTCACAGGAAGTAGAAAAGGCTGCAAGAAAGAGAAACTTCACGACATTATATCACACAACAGGCTCCCTATTCCAGAAGAGACCGATCCATATACAACCAGTGACAGATAAGGAGAGGAAACCCAATTGGGAAAGAAGTGAAACAGGAGAAACTTAGGGGTGAACACTTCAGGGGGCTCTTCAGTTCGCCACGACCGTAACTCGTCCAGGAATACCAACAGCAAGCATAGGACACCGTATGAACAAAAACATTTGGACGATATCAGGAGTTCTGGATCCCATAAAATTGCCAGAAAAGGAAAAGATTAAGATCGTATTCCCCAAGAAACACTGACAATGGACTAACTGAACTTTGAAGACGCGCACGGACCATTAAAGCAGAAGGGTGAGAAAAGAAATAAGGTACCTGCAGATTGGAAAAAGAGGCAACGTGTCAAAGAGAAGATGAAAGGCGACAAAGACTAATACGAGAATTGAAGTGATACCAATAATTCATTCAGTGAAAGAAAATATACAGCCGTTAAAGATGCCGTAACTGGTTGACATTAGGAAAGCTAAAACACATGCTGATCGAATAACAACACTACACATAGTTATCGCACAGCGCATACAGTGGAAGTCAACTCTCTATCTCAGCGTTATTGACTTTGTAAAGACCTTCGACAGCATCGACTATGAAGTAATTTGGTGACTGCCTCAACGTTACGGGAATACACTGTGGTTAACACTGATGTACCTCATTTAATAGATATATGTTGATGTCGGAAACCAAGTAATTTACAACGAACAGCTTAGTGAAGCGTTTGAGATTAACACAAGCGACGACACACAAGGTGTTCGGAGACATTGAACATCACTGAGGAAGCCAGAGTGAACGAACACTGGAACTTTCAGATATTGACATAGGCGGAACTGGTATAGCTCTCCTAGGAACGGAGAAACGACAAAACATGTAATGGTTCACAAGAAATCCGTGGCTGGTCAACTAACTTGGTGAGTTCAAACATGCATCATACATCAAACCATGAGGAGTGGGGAGATGCACTTACGTCGGATCAACAAAACAACACTAAAATATCTGGATTTCAAGGATGATTCATGTATAGTGAGTGTTACACAAATTCGGAGAGAAACCAACAGGTTGGAAGAAGAGGCAGCGAAGACTGGACTTCAGATGTACAAAGAGAAAGCACAGATGATGAAGGTACCCAACCAACAATAATAGCACGCACCAGCCATCATCAATGGGATAAGTCTCAGTAGCATTGTTTCAACTGCATGCAGCTGGCTCAGATGACGATGTCAGAACCAAGCAGTCCTTTAATTAGTCTATGATCTGTGTGGAAATCTACTGCACTCGCCCAGAACAACACCCGAATTCCCAACTCTGATGTAACGCTGGTGTTTCTCTATGTTCCAGAGACTTGGTGTTCGTCACTAGTAGCACTTCCGATGGTCTGCTGCAGAATTTCATCAAGACTGGCCTCCTTCGCTCAACACTGAAGGTCGGGCGGCCATACAGAAAGAATAAGCGATCAGGAGCTCTCAGAGCATACTAGCTAGGATCGTCTACAGTAAAGATGAAGGCGGTGATAGATTTGATCTTTTTTTAATCTAAGTAAACCGTTTGGTGACATCACAGTTACGGGGTTGGAAGTCGAATTGGGAGCTATGGGTTAAGCATACAAGGCTCACTTGGAGACCACGTTATCAGTCATAGGACTAGCTGAAACAACGAAAGAGGGCAGAATGAAGTTGTGATATTCTAATGGGGTACTGTGCTCAGAGTTGTGATCGCAAAAGACAAGTGATAATAATCGTTGTTTTGTTTTGGCTTTGCAACTGTTTCCTGACTCACATCGAATAAGCCCATCTATGGTAGAAAACAGTATCCACACATACCATAGTATTACCGTATGAACCCTTGTTGGTCAAGATATCCTTCAAAAGTTACTTACTTAAAATTTCTTTTCTACGGAACAAAAATGCTTCGTAATTACCACAATACTTATCAGTTCACTGATTCTAGTTAGCCTTGGCGTCGTGAAATGCATGGTGTTCAGGACACTGGTGGGTGTGCTTGTGTTCCACAACCCAATGAAGGGTAAAGACATGAACAGATTAATTTTTCCAGGATTCCCTTAGTCTGTTTTGAATTAGGATATCTAGGATCTGAGACACTATGTTAGTCACGCTGATCCTCGTGATTGTCACAAGATGATTTTCTCTTGTGCTTATAAACCACAACGATCAATTATCTTCACCAGTCTCATACGAATACACTACTTACCACCTTAGTTGGTAAACACTTTGGGAGCTATCCGTCACACCCTGCTTGACCATACACATTAGTGCCTTGGAGGATTAATTCATGATGACTTCATGTAGATATTCCATAAGGAGCAGTAATCCCCACCCAACTTCTACTACAGTTTTGAGTGAAGTGGTCTGTTTATGCATAACGCTGTGTTGCTGTCAGCAGTCGCTACACGAAACAGTGCCTTCTGTCATGATTGAAATGAGTTCTGGTTAAAAGCGAATTTTCAACGTACAATTTCTTACTAAACTGCAGCAGCTTATGTTAACACATTTCTCAAATGCACACAAAAGGGTAGGTTGAAAAAGCAAACGAACTTTGACAGATGGAATGACTAATTTGGTGGAGAATAACAAGAACATAAAGATTCTGGGAGTGCATAAAAAGTGAATGCATCTGCAATAATGAGTCACATAGCATCCACTGGATCCTAGAGTCTCGTCGACCTCAGTCAGACATTTCCCTATCAGAGACTTTATAGGGTGATGTCAAGTTCCAATTTGACCAATCCTAATTCTGAAACAAACGGTCATGTGGAAAATCACGGTTGTAACTTCTTCCTCACTAGAGATGGTATACACTCGTGATATAAGATTTTTCTTTTTGACCGTCTTCCTACTTCAGCATAAAAATCATTCACATATACACGTGAGAGTTCCGTTTTTACCAACAAACTTAATAACTGGTGCTACACCTCATCTTTCTGTTAGTCTTGTTGGTTAACTAGTGCTTAAATGGAGATTGAAAACCGTGTCATCATAGCATCTGTGGGAAATAGACAGACTCACTGGTAACATAAAACGAGTGATGGTTTTTCAGTCTAGTGAAAATACACCAATGAGGTGAAAATACTTAGATAATATTAATTAGCTTGGAACTTGTATTTTAACTGGTACAAGACGTTGTAGACAACTGAGTGGGTGGTCGTACTCTTCACAAATAACTGGCTTTAGACTCTTAGTTTAGGATCTCCAAGATTCTGAGATTAATCGACGCAGTCGTCTTTAAGTGAAAAGTAGAAACCTATGCTAGGTGGGCATTAGAACCCGTTGTTTGTAAACACGCTGTGCAGGTGAATTGAAATTGACCAATTAATCAAAATAAATGTGTGCAAATAGGATGAGTGCATATAGTAATAAATTAAAATCAATATCGCCCCCCCCCCCCGCATTAAGAAGTGGATTGTCTTCCTAGTACCACAAAAAAAACGGCACCAAATATGTATTTGTACATCAAATACCGAATCTCTTTGTAAGCTTCCTAAGTACGTAGAAAACTATTTGCAACACGCTGTTGTATAGTGAGAAGAAAACGGGTTTAAAAGTTCATTGTACTTAGAATATATCTGAAAACAACTATATTTCAAATGAAAAAAAAAGAAAAAATAAGAAGCCAATAAAGATAACTCAAATTCATTAGAAATCAATCAACAAATACACTCAGTTATATCTAGAAAGCTTAGATCAATTGGAAATGATGATAAAGTTTACACAGATTTGGAAGCAAAGTTCATATATTACACAACACAGGAGCATTAGAAGAGAGAGGGAAAAGATTTATTTTTTGCACATCTGACGGATAAACATATTTCATCAGGTGGTGTATTATTGATAGAGATTATATGATACAATTCATCATCCTCGGGAAACACACACGCACAAGTATATAATAGTTTTTATATGCTCAAAAACTTTCCACTAGAAGACGACTCAAAATAAAAATATAATAAATTATTATCGCAAATAATTAAGGAAAGTGATCAAAGTGAAGAAGACACAGGAATGCTGTACTACGCCACCCTTTATAAGAAAATAAAAATATATCAACAAACCAAAATTGAAAAGGTGAAGAGAACACAAGATATCCGATATTGGTTGTAGTTTCAAAATAAACTATAATTGAAGATAAAGCGTAGAGTAAGGAATGCAATTATTTTATTATCAATTGCTATTATTTCGGAATGGATATACATTGTTACTTTTTTGAAGAGCATCTTCTGTAGCAGAAAATAAATAAATGTAAAGACAAAATATTAAATCCGAACAAAACTTATAGAGACCACCAAATGAACAGAAATCACTTGTGAAATTATTTCTAAAGCAATCCATGGCATACGGCATACGTGAAGAGACACGGAAGATTAAAAAGTACGAAGAAAAAGATGATAGAAGAATAAGAAAATTATAAAAATAAATCCCTACATAAATTTGATTTTGAGCAAAACAAATCATACTTCTAGCTTTACAAGAATATTAAATAAACCGGGAACTTCCGGAGGAAACCAATTTTTCTACATACCAATATCATACACAGTCAGGCATTCTATCATTTATTTAAGAGATTGTTCAGCTGTAGACTCTAATATCTTAGATGTAGTAGCACGACTCAATTGAGGGAAATCAGTTGACGGTTTGTCGCACGGTAACATATTAACACTTTTATCAGATCTGCTTAATAAGTTGGAGATAACATTCTGTGACTCTGTAACATTACTCTTATTTGGTGATTGATTTAGGCGTTGTATCAAAGGGTGTCTGTAAATCCAGTTCTCTCCTTCTCCACGAAAATGCTCTGGAGTCCATGTGTTTTTACTGTCTCTTCTCATTCGAGCTAAATCACGTTGTCGTTGTTCTAAGCGGTGTTTCGCATCGGTAGCAGCATCAATATTCCCCACTTTCAGATTATACGTCACTTCTTCCCATAAACTATATAAAGGGGATATAAAAAAATGTTTGATAAAGCTTATCTGGTATAACAATTTTGTTTAAATAGACAAAAGTTTCTACAACAAAATCTTTCACTACATGTAAAAAATAAAATAAAAGGAAACAGAACATCACAGGTCACCACCAGTTGTTCCGCACCTTCTATAAATTTACTCTTTACGTACAAATAGAATTACCGAAACACATCCTAATTAAGCGTACATACTTATAGCTTGGATTTGTTAGGATTCGATTAATTTCAATGTAGATTTCAATCAGGAACCAAATAAAGTAAGAAAATGATTACAAAATTCAAGAGTGCTGGATGATGCTTTCGTTTAGAATCAGTCGGTTCGTCTTACACAATTGACAAAGACAAGTTTGTATATTGAATATTACATTGAATATACACTTAAGGTGATCAGTTCAACAGTTCCAACAACACACACTATTAATACTGTCAGTATTAAAGTTTGCCAGAGACTAACTTATGTAAACTAGTTTCAGTTGCGTGAACGCAGAGCCCAGGGGACAACTGCTTGCGCGGGTGTACTGCTCATCAGTCCGCTCCGTCATCCTTTATGGCTGTGAGACCTGGCCATTGAGAGTGGAAGACATGAAAAGATTAGCTGTCTTTGATGATAGGTGCCTGCGTTCTATCTCCCGTGTGAAGTGGTATAATAAGGTGAGCAATATAAAGGTTAGGTGTCGAGTGATAGGTAAGCAGAGGAAATCAATCGATGAGGTTGTGAAGTTACACCGATTGAGATGGTTAGGACATGTGTCACATATGCCTAGTCATCGCCTTCCTCGACGAGCCGTGTTAACTGATATAAGGTCAGGCTGGAAAAGAGCTAGTGGAGGTCAAACAAAAACATGGTTTCACCAGTCAATGAAATCTACTACAGTTAGCCTAAGCCTCGTAAGAAGGTGTAGACTTCCTGACTGGTTGGGGTCCTCGGGACGGTAAAATCCAATGGTTGGAAACAATTGGTGACATGGCTCAAAATCGTTCTCCATGACTGGCACAGATGCGTCCACTCCTTGTGACTTATGATTTCCAATGAAACTGTTTTGTTCTTCGTTATTACTCTTCCTATGTCTCACACCTCTGTTTACTGTCTTTATCATGCATTTCTCCTACTTTGTTCTCTTGCTTTGTGTGCTACAAGGAGGGAGTGTGGCGACTTGAACATATGGCGCACATTTGTGCAGAGTTCTATGTCGAAAACAGACAGGCAAACTAGTTTCAGGCTTATGAAAACAACACCTAGACAAGTATGTTGAAAATTTTTCCAGTGTGTACTAAACCCATGATGAAGGAGACGATTGAAAGGAAAAATGAGAATAATTCAGAACAGACAATTACAGTGAAACTGACTTCATATCACCGTACAAATTGAAATTACTTCAAGATAAAATGTGTTGTATCTGCACCAGTTTAAATAAATCATTACTATGAGGTAAAATGTACCTATTTCATTAGACAGCTAGAATTCACCTACTTAAATGTAAAGAGACATACGGCCTGTAGAATTCGTGTAGAAACAAAAGAAAAAGCTGATTGAAACACTGGTGGAAATCCCACAGTAGGAGTAATACTTATGCGGACTAGTGCAATATGTGCAGTCCAAATATTAATTAAGCCAATGATCAAATAAGGTGATAATAATTAGATGTCGGCAAATTTAAAATTTCTATGATACAGCTAAAATCGTGAATAAAATCTTGCGTACATTAAGTCCAGTTTTATATATATACACATACACACACACATACACAAGTGATTGCAAAAGAATCCTATTTAACAAAATAACTTTAAAAAGACATACCGCCGTGATTCATTTTCTGCCTGACGAGATCTCGGTAGAACATGCTTCTTGACTGTTGGTAGACTACGCGTATCAATGAATAATTCATTTCTCTGCAAAATTTGGGGGGCGGGGGAGGGGGGAAGGGAGGAAAGATTATACGTTAACAACTTATATTTAAGTGGTCTATTTAACCGGTGATAAATGATCACATGAAACGAATCAGCTACTTGGAAGCTATCAGAGTGTTCATTACACTACTACTTCGATTGGTTGAAGATAGTTTAAATTCAACAAGTTAACAAACATCAGAGCCACGCTTGTTGGCTATTTCAATCACTACTTGACAGGTCAGTTAGATATAAGATGAGATTATTATTATTATTATTATTATTATTATTTCCTTTAATTCCTAGAGGAACATAGGGCTTCAGCTGTGCGTCTCCATTGCCTTCGGTTCTCTGCTAGAGTTTTCTCACCTGACCTATATGCTTTCATCTCCTCTTCACATAACCTCCTCCAAGTCACCCCACCCTATCACTGACGACCAACTCGCCTCCCGCTTCCCTTTCGCGTTCCACTCGAGTGATGGCTTGTCTAGTGATATCACTTGATGGCTTCCTCAAAGTATGGCCAGCCAATCCGCCTTCATTTCTTCCTGCTTATTTGTTGCACAACCAGTTCCTGGTTGGTTCGCTTCCAGATGAAATTAAAAATACAACTGCACATAGGGACTAATATGTGTGCGTAGCACATTTCAACAGATGACTAACTGCAGTGAATTCAACAGTCTTTCAATGCATTCTTTTTGGAGACAGAGACCAACCGATTCTACAGAAATGTGAAAATTAGAAATCAGTAGAATATCGGACATTGTCAATTGTCAAATTATGCAGCTGACTTTGTGTAAAGCAGAATGGTTTGCACTACAGTTGCGTTAGGATTTGCTTCAAGTATCAACTATTATTCGCCTGTATTTCAAACTACACACCATTAGAAATTGATAAAAAGAACAAATCATGACTTTCAGTAAGAATGTTCACGGTATGAAGTGATTGTCGTTGTACTCAAGTAGAGGAGGACGTTTACACGGTGGATATATATTTGCAAGAAAATTGCCGTACTTTTACTAGCTTTGAAATTATGGGTAGTAGCTTGTATGTTTTGTGATCATCGCCATGATAAATCACTGAAGCATACAATTTTTAGCTATTGGCTTCTTACGGAGGATAATTTCAATTTAGTAGATGACTATCATTTATCATTCTAATAAAAACAAAAATGAGTAAGACAGAGTTAGACAATCCCGTAACAAGGTAATACAAGATATAATTTTAAAAAAACAACCATTTCCTATTCTTTGTAACCATGCCAGCTTACCCCATGAGACCATTTGGCCCACATTTTATCATTCCATTCACCTTCAACTGTGAGAAACGGTTTTTTGTCATTGGGTCCAAAAACTTCAGCACGTAGAGAATCTTTCTTCCCGCCATAAAATGGTTTTGTTCGAAATTCAATGTTGGCCACATAACCGGTTTTTGAGCATATAATACTAGTTTTCCCGCCCAATTCGATCCATGGGACAGTGAGAATATTTCTGTAATCAAAGTTATGAGTAGTTTTTTTTACACAAAAACTGAATGTGTGTTCAGTGAAAATCATGCAGAAAAAATGAACAAAGTAGGTATAATTATCATAGTTGAAGACTAACTTCCCATATTGATTATAGTCTTGGAAAGTAACCTTTAGGAAGGCGATAAAACTAAAGAGTAGTATTCTAAGACGGATGAAGTGCTGCTTTACAATCTATGAACAAGGATGATGAGCAAAACATAACAATGATGAACACGAGTTGAACCGACTAATAAAGACGGAAGAAAAACTAGTGAAATAAGGTCAAATGACTACTACTTGACGACTTGCAACAGTGATGAAGCTAAATAATCCAAATTGAGTTTAGTTCATACTAACAACACTATTGACAAGTAATAAAATCAGGACTACGTTCACTTACTATCTATCTATCGTTATGCGAAGGATATCACAATGTTACCTTCCTGTGATTGCTTTTATTCGACTGACTTTTAACTTAATTTTGAGTGTTACTGTTTAACAACAGTCGCTAGTTTCGTCCTTACTTTAAAGGACAAGCAAAACCATAAACAAAAGTTTAACACTTCCAATTGCCATACACTTCGTATGACTTAGAAACAGATAAATTTTACAAAAATGATAAGACACTAGAAACAATACATAGTGAGAAAAACACATATAGAAGTTGCAAACAATGAAAAGAAATGAATAAGATGATAACTATTTTTTTTTTAAAAACCCGTACGTATGTGTTTATCAATGCAGATCATAGTCGTGGAACCAACGCGTGTATGGAAAGACACTAAATATGCATCGGAAACAAATCCCGAACACCGGAATCAGTGCTAACACACGAGTGTATCAGTGAGGGTACCTGATCTTACGTAAAAAAAGTGCACACACGAAAAGTATTTCGTCTTTGTTAGTTCTAAGATGATAAGACTATGCCACGAAGAGAATTAGGGATAAATGTCTAAAACTTTGCGTCATGAAAATTTAACGATCACATCTTACTGCTACTGTCTAGGAAAGAATGGACAACATATTTCTTCCCATAAACAGACAAATATCTTACTATACAAAAAGGAATAAAAACTCACGAATGTGGAAATCTTATCACTAGAGTAAGAGGTCATAAGCTAGTTTACATAGAAAATGCATTCAACCAATTATGCAATAAGAAGCTGTCTGTCTGTTTTCGACATAGAACTCTGCACAAATGTGCGCCATATGTTCAAGTCGCCACACTCCCTCCTTGTAGCACACAAAGCAAGAGAACAAAGTAGGAGAAATGCATGATAAAGACAGTAAACAGAGGTGTGAGACATAGGAAGAGTAATAACGAAGAACAAAACAGTTTCATTGGAAATCATAAGTCACAAGGAGTGGACGCATCTGTGCCAGTCATGGAGAACGATTTTGAGCCATGTCACCATTGTTTCCAACCATTGGATTTTACCGTCCCGAGGACCCCAACCAGTCAGGAAGTCTACACCTTCTTACGAGGCTTAGGCTAACTGTAGTAGATTTCATTGGCTGGTGAAACCATGTTTTTGTTTGACCTCCACTAGCTCTTTTCCAGCCTGACCCTATATATGAGATAATACTGCTCGTCGAGGAAGGTGATGACAGCTTAGTAAATTCAATACGATGTAAATGAGTGATTGAAAGCATTTAGCAACACAGTTAAATACATTAAGGCGATTTATCTGACGACTCTACCTTGAATCCTCTCTACATATTGAACAGAAAAGTGGGACAGATAGTGACTACACGATTTAAATGTCTGTCTTAAAAAGAAACACACATAGGCTGGAAGGTTTCTAGATAGCATTTATCTTTTGGAAACCGATTGAGAAATCAATTTAACGTTATTGTGAAGAAATTGAATCTGCTTTCGTTACACTAGCTAGCCAACCATAAGATTTGAGTAAATTTATAGTTCTTTGCGAGATTATTCGACAACAATGCCACAATGCCTCTTCTTCTTCTTCCACAAACAGATTAATTGTTAGCGTTCACTAAAGAAATGCATATTATACTATGCTACACTAAGCTACAGCTCTAGTTAGTAAATCCTCCATCAAAAACGCAGCTTTACCTTATTTTTATAAAGTGCAGCAGTATTATTCTTGTTTGCTTTTTTTTTCTCCAACATAAGAGTGATTAGAATCAAAAGATTACATTGATTGAGATCACTATCATCTTTAGTATTTGTTGTAGATGTTGTCGTTATCCATACTTGAAGTAGAGGAGAAAAAAAGAATGACCTTGTCAGAGGGATAGGAAGGAAATGGAAGAGATGAGTGTAAGGGCAAACAGTTTAGCATAAACAGCAGAGTTTCCCATTTTCCAAATGATGAAAAACAAGTTTTTATTTTATTTATTTATTTATAGAAGACTACGATGGTATGGCATCATATGACTTGTGAAATTCATTCGTCAAACTGTTTGACCTAATTTAAAGAAATCTGGTGTACAGTTGTTCAATAAAACTCTTGTGTTCTATTTTTAGGTTATGTGAAACATCTACTTTCAGGACTTTAACGATCACCGAGAAAATTTTTGAGAGAGGATACAAACAATTGGTAGGATTTTTTGTGACATCACTTATATCAACCGGATATATCATGAAGGGTTATGATATATATATATATATATATATATATATCACAGGTCTACATCCTATACTTTATTGATCACCATTTCTTAAGACCTGTGAAGAAAAACTCCATATTGACATACACACAGCTAGACGTTGGGAGAAAAGGTGATATTCAGTGATGGTAAAATTCATTGGTTGTACATGCTGGGTACTATACGACACTGGATTTTTTCACCACACATTAAGACGATTACAGAAACAGCGGACTTGATGACGCCATAACTGGAGAAGGTGTGGAAAGAGGGCAAAGTACCTGAGGATTGGAAGAAAGGATACTTATTCAAACTACCAAAGAAAGGAGACTTAAGTCAATGCAAAAACTGGAGTGGAATTGTGCTCCTGTCCATCCCAAGAAAAATACTAAGCCGCATCATCCTGGAGAGAATCAAACACGCCGCCATGGATGGAAAACTTCGACCGGAACAAGCTGGATTTAGGAGAAACAAGTCATGTAATCATCAAATCGCCACACTACGGACCATCATTCAACAAAGCTTGGAATATCAGTCACCTCTCTATCTCACTCAACTTCATCGACTTTGAAAAGGCCTTCGATAGCGCAGCGTCGATCGAGAGGTCATTTGACAACTACTTCGCTACTACCAAGCGGTCCCATCGACAATTATACATCTCATCCAACAGTTATACGACAATTCTGAATGCCAAGTAATCCACAACTAGGAACTTACGGAAGCCTTCGAAGTGACGACGGGAGTGAGATAAGGCTGTCTACTGTCGCCAATGATCTTCCTGATTGCAGTAGATTGGATAATGAGACAGAAAACGGCCAATGAGGAAACAGGCATTAAATGGACTCACACAAAGACAAACTTGAAGGATCTGAACTTCGCCCTTGATGACATATATATGTCTGATTTCCCACAAACTGGAAGATATGTAAGTGAAAAGCAACAAGCTGGATGAAGAAGCATCCAGAGAAAATAGGACTTCAGGTGAACATAGATAAAACAGAGGTGATGAAGATTCCTGGCCAACACCAACAACCACAGCCACAGAAACAACAACAGACAGCATAAATGGGAGGAACCTGAAAGAAACAACCTCCTCTACCTACCGACCTATCTGGGAGGCTTCGTTTCAACTACAGGCGGACGGAAGTGACGAGGATATCAAAGCCAGAATCGGAAAAGCAAGACAACCTTTCATTACTCTCAACAAGTCTGTGTGGAGGTCAACAGCCCCACTACTCAGCCCGAAAAATAACATCCGGAGTTTCAACTCCAATGTGAAGTCAGTCAGTGGTACTCACTATACGGATCAGAGACTTGCACTGCGCGTTGCAAACAGCATCACAAACAAACTTCAGACCTTCATTAACAGTTGTCTTCGCTCAATACCACTCAAGATCAGATGGCCAGCCAGAAAAGATCAGCAACATGCAGGGATCTTCGGCATTGAGCGAACCAACACAGCAGGAACCGATTGTGAAACAAATAGGCAGGAAGAAATCGAGATGGATTGGCTGGTCATACGCTGAGGAAACCATCAAGTGACATCACTAGACAAACCATCGCTCGAGTGGAACTCGGAAGGGAGGAGGGCGGCGAGTTGGTCGTCAGTGATAGGGTGGGGGGGGGGGAACTTGGAGGAGGTTATATGAAGAGGAGACGAAAGTGTGTGGGCAGACTTGGAGCGGGGTGGAAATGTTGGCAGAGAACCGAAGGCAATGGAGACGCACAGCTGAAGCCTTGTTCCTCTAGGAATTAAAGGATATAATAATAATAATAATTCATTTCAAGTAAGCAAACTATGGTAAACAGCGAGCAACTATTCAGTCAGATAAACAACAATGAACACAAATTTAATTTAACTTATTTAGAGTACTCATCTGATTTCATAAATAATACTGAACATAAAATAAACGTGAATACTTAAGTAGTAGCACTATTAATAAGATACAACTAACAACACATGACTTCTTACTTCAAGTCAAAACACAGAGATTTGTGGATAAAGACGAAAGGATACCTTCTCTACGATGAAATGATGAATTAATTTTAAGAAAGGCATTAATTCATTCAATTACCACTTCTACACTGTATTTAGGCTTAAACAACACCATGTTCTCATGTTATCACACCATCTCTTCAACTGTATGCTTCTGTGCCTAATAAGAAAATAATGTCGAGAACTGTGATTTATTACTATAACTATAAAACTTGGGCACTGTGGTAGAGTATAATTCCATTATAGATAAGATTTTATTTTGATAAATCGCACAGTGTTTACAGTTATATGAACTGATAACGTTTCGAGCACAAACTATTGCTCATAATCATATCAAGTTACTCACACAACTTTGATCTCTCATTTATATA